AAAAAAAAAAGAATGGCTAGAGTCTTAGAGACTTATGGGTCACCAATACTGATCCAACTTTAGGAAAAAAGGGGGGATTGGGGTGTGGCTCAGTGGTTAAGTGCCCCTGGGTTCAATCCCCAATATATTAAAAAAAAAAAATCAACCAATCATTGAAATAACATGTCCCMAAATGTACTACTTCCCCATGTTTTCTCTAAACTCTTCCTCAAATCTAGAAACTAAGTTCGATACTGAAATGGATCGCAAGTGTAGCATTTGAATTTGRGTCTACTTTATGCCTAATCTGAATCTAGTGGCAACATTCTTGTGAGACTTGTTGCTACTTATTACTGAGCTGCTGGGGAAGGAGAAGACTGTCTGCAACACTGGAAGAGCACTGTGTGGTAATGGAAGCCCAGTCAGGCCCGCCCCTGCCCTATGCCCGCAATATGCAGGCCATCCTGGACCACCCTTGGCTTTTTGTTTTTGCTTTTATTTATTTATTTATTTATTTATTTTTGCAATATTAGGGACTGAACCCAGGGTTGCTTTACTACTAAGCTACACCCCTAGCCCTTTTTACTTTTTGTTTTGAGACAGGTTCTTCCTAAGTTGCTGAGACTGGCTTCAATCTTGCCATTCTCCTGCCTCACCTTCCCAATAGCTGTAGTTGTAGGCTCCTGCCAGCCTGCCTGGCTCCTCCCTTGCTTCTTAAATAGCAGCATGGTTGCTGCTTCCAAGTCTGGTTTCTTGTGCTGCTGTCCACTGTAGTGACTTAATTCCTTTTCCTTTATAAAGACAGCATTCACCATAAACTTTAATCTCCCAGTGTTTTCTTCCCAAAGATCTCAGGTAGCTTGTCAGTCATCTCAGCATTTATGTGGAGGAACATTAACCTGCACGTCACTTGCCCATACTTCTCAAAGTGACTGTGTGGAGTGGTGGGCCTGGAAACAGCCCAGAAATTGCATGGTCTGCCCAAGTTTGAAAGAATCAGTGCTTATAAACTCTTCTCCCATACTCACTTGTCCCTTTCTTAGGAATATACAGATGCATTCCTCTATTTATTTCAATGTGCAAGTGGAGAATGGTGATTTACTTTGCTTATAAATGTCTTAACAGTGCATAGAAGGGAGTCACATTTATTTCCTTTTGAATCTTTTAGGAAACTCAGTTTAAGAATAAGGTTATGGGAGAAAATGACATTACACTCCACTGTGTTGATCAGATTTATGGAGGTAAGGATCTCTTTTCTTTTGGATTATTGCCAGCTTTTGAATATATAGTTAGTAATGATGATAATATTATTATAGCCCTTTATAGTTCACAAAAATATATTCATATAAATTACCTTACTTAAGTCAGTTTTATGGATGATAAATTGAAATGTGAAGTAGCTTGTTTGGAGTTACTTAGCTAGAGGAGTACTGATCCTTCTATATTCATGTTTAAGACTGATTTGTGAAGGTCTTTGTATTGCATCAGAATATCTTTTCTGCTGGTTAAACAGGCCTCTCCTGCCAATTCATTCTCTGTTTCTCTTCTCCATTTTTGTGTTCAGGGCACTTCCAGAAGTTATTCAATAGCTATTTATGATGTTCTCAGTACCAATAGGTGCTAACTGGGTAGCTCTGGGACAGGAAAGAAGGTGTCAGGAGGGGCCTCAGCACAAACCTAGGGATTGACTGGCAGAAATGCATGTCCCTAGTGCTCTTTCTTCCATCCTTTATGATCTCAGCTTTCAGAGCTGTGTTTTCTTCATGCCAGTGAAATCTATTCTGCTAATAGTGGCCAGTCCATTTGGGTCTTATGCTTGCTCCAGGGCAGTGAATAACCCTGTGTGCTCTCAGAGTCAGGGCCCCTGCTGGGACAGTCTGAATGCCTATTCTAAGAAGTTAGCAGTYTGCCTTGTTTTCACATTAATTTATTGCTGTATAACATAATTTTTCTTCCCAATTTCATCGTTGATCTATAGTGTTTGATGAGAAAAAAAAAATTCTCTCTGGACAACTGAAGAAATACCCTGAGAAACTTATCATCCACTGCAAAGACCTCCGAGTGTTTCACTTTTGTCTGAGATACACAAAAGAAGAGGAAGTCAAAAGGGTAACTAGTCCCATTTGTTTTTAGGTTTTGTTTCCCTTCAGGTTTTCCCCACTGACTCTAGGTTTTGCTTATATTGACTGAAGGTAGAGGGAGCCTTTTATTCTGTGAAATTGAATCCAGTGTTCTTTTTTTTTTTTTTTTTTTTGATCCTGGGAATTGAACCCAGGGGCGCTTAACCATTGAGCAACATCCCCGACCCTTTTTATTTTTTATTTTGAGACAGGGTCTCACTGAGTTGCTTAGGGCCTCACTAAGTTGCTGAGGCTGACTTTGAACTTGTGATCCTCCTACCTCAGCCTTGAGAGCCACTGGGATTACAGGTGTGCACCACCCCACCCTGTGGATCCCATATTCTTTCTTCAGAATGCGAGAGGTAATTGGATAAAGCATGCCTGTATATTATCTTAGCACATGCTACCTTTACTCCTTCAATTCATAATGTTTTGATTTCTAGAGCCACTAAAAGATGGGAGGTGATAAGCCAGGTCATGAAGTAGTTGAGAAAGAGAAGGATGGGATAGGTTCAAGTTGTCTCTCATTGCCATCCTCCCTATGTTTGACAACCTATTCTAAAGACAGTTGCACTGTCTTCCTATTCCTGTGAATAAATGAGTCACTCTTGGAGGTAGTGGTTGTGCTTGAAAGGAGGAGGTACAGCTAAGAACAGCTAAGRTTAGAGGAACAAAGCCGAGTCACCGGGTGTGCCTTTGGAGACTGTGAACATGATTCCCTGGTTGTCATGGCAAATTGAGATCCATAACTGAGTGAACTGAAAAAATGGCTGTAGCAATTTGGTGTTCATTATAACTTCCAAGATTTGTCTTATTGAGATGATAAAGATCTCACATTTGCCAGTATCATACATCAGGGGAGATTTAGCAAGAGTCTAGTGCGTCTTTTCTGTAATGAGTCATGTACACTTACTTCCAGGTCACTGCTTGATTGTCTTTCATATGGTAGTGTGGTATTTCAGGTAGAATGATACACATGACTTGTGTACATATTCTGAGGGGAGAAAGAGTGGTATAGATATGGAGAATGCACTGAGAATCCGGACTCCTCACTTAGAACATTGATTTTAGTCATCTATCAAAACATAATTTTGTTTAGTACAGTAGACAAACAGAAGGCACAGTAGACTGAGTTCTTCTTCATCTTCTAGAAGATTCTAAAGACCACAGGTGAGTCAGAACAGCTAAGTGTCTTGGCTATTATCTGATATCACCTGTAAATCTTCAACATGTCAGATATTTGGAATACCTGACTTTAATAGGGCACTTAAGATTTTTAGCACTTTGTTTTTGAGAAATTTGACTATATTATAAAAACTTGTCCCTACAAAATCAGAGCTCAATAAGTCTGACAAAATAGTATTCTGTTGGTCTGGCATTACTCCAACAACTAAATTATAGATTCATACTTTAACAAGGWTTACTGGGTTGACCCTAGAGCTCCATTAGCATGACTGAGAACCTAGACAACTTGGCTCCTGCCTTTCTTAGTGTTTACCTGTCAAAATCATAACTATACCCATTGGTCCATTCTTTCTAGATTGTCTGTGGCATAATTCATCATACCCAGACCTCTATACTTCTTAAGAGATTATTTCTGTTTTCCTATGCAACTGCTGCACAAAACAATACAGGTAAGCATCTTCTGGGTTTAATTAGAGGATAGACAGTGTCCTTCATACTTTTAAAAAAAAATCTGTAAGCATGAGAGGGTTTTTTGTTTTTTGTTTTTCTTTTCTCTAACAGTTGGTCATCTATTGCTTGGGTGATTCATTCAAAAGGTTTATATTTTTT